GTCGGGCGTGGTGCTAGCCACCCACCCCCTCGTGTGCCGTGCCGGCCTTGATAGGTGCTCGCTAACAGCACTGGCCCCAATAGTCTGTTGAAGGCTATACGGGTGATCTTCATATGTAGATATATGACTTTGGTTTTGTTAAACCGTGTACAGGTGGTAATGTGTATACGTGTGAATATGTATGTTGGTGTATGGGTGGGTGATATGTAACTGGTGTGTGCGCTACGAACCAATAGACCAAAGTTCTATTCCCCGGTTCACGGCCAACGTCAGTGGCACTCGGTAACGTAACTTGCCTTGGGGTCTCCTTTAGGTCGACTTAGCCTCAAATGAGTACCCGGTGGGGAAAGCATTGGCGCTGGGGGAGACAAAGGCGGTCGAGCGTGGTGCTGACTTACACCAACTCGCCTTAATAGGCGCTCGCTAACCGCACGTGGGGACTGTGCAGATGGTGTATTGGTGGTGGTGGTGATTTTGCGGCATTGATAATATAATTAATCGTTTTAAAGCTTTCGTGACTGCAGGGATTCATCTTTTTGGTTCTTTCGGTAGAGTCACGTAGAAGGGAAATAATAAATAATAAAAATGAAACATAATAAAATACAATTCTCACGACGTTTCGGCCACAACGCAAGCAGCCGTCCTCAGGTGAAGAACAGAGCTGTCGGAAAGACAGCGTCTGAATGTCTTTCCGACAGACCTATTCTTCACATGAGGACGGCTGCTTGCGTTGTGGCCGAAACGTCGTGAAAATGATTTTATTATGTTTTATTTTATTATTTTATTATTTCCCTTCTACGTGACTTTACCGAAAGAACCAAGAAGATAATTAATCGTATCGATCATTTGACACCTAACGTACGTTTGATTGTGATGATGATAATGATTATCACTCGATACGCGGCTGTGTTGCTGATGTGATGACGATGAAGCCATCGAATGTGATTCGGTGCAAAGGCTCGCCCCGTTGGAAACTCCCTTGAGATATGGGTCCAGTGTTGGTTCAATATACGCGACTTGATGTTGATAATTGATCGATAAAAATTGACGTCGGTCATGAGACTTGTCGATGATACTGATGGCGATATTTGACGACAAGTGGTACGGCAATTGAGTAATAATGATGGCGATTTTTGATGATTATGGTAATCTGGCTGCCGCCTGATGAAGCTGGTTGTAATTACTGGCGACACGTCGTACTCATATTGTAAATGTTGCGGCTTGGCTCTCCAACACGCCGGTGTGCTGTACTAGTATACTACACTATACACTACACTATACACTATACACTACACTACACACTACACTATACACTAGTGCTGTACTAGTGACGAATTGGCACGTTCTGTTTACGTGACAACCCTTACTCATGGGCTGTGTCGGGGGTGGTGGGGTTTAACGACACATTTATATTTACGCGATCTAACCCAACAAAAACTTGTATTATGGTAATTGATTGATTGATGATAATAACGACGATACGTGATGATGACGTTTATTATCTGACATGATTGATATTGTTGTACGTAACATGTTATCGTCATGTATTCATTTAACACATTTACGTAGCGGAATAATTTCTATGTCCGCTTTACCCGTGAGGCCATCATCACAGCATTATGTGTTGAACTTCTTTCACACCGTACGTAGCCAACCGTGCTAATCGGAGGTGCGGGGAAGGACAAGAAACGAAACACAAAAAGCATTTATAAGGAAATGCGTTTCCAAGTCGAGACTTAAAAGTTGCAAAGCTTCAACGGCGTCCTCATATCGGCAGGGAGGAGCGTTCCAGACGGCCACAGAAGCGCATCTGAAAGCGCCGCCGCCTTTTGTTCGACGGCTCAGCCAAATGGATTAAGTGATGCAAATGGATTAAGTGCACACCATTAGCAAGGCGAGTTAGCAACGTGTGTGGATATATACATAGACACACACGCACACAAAGATATCGACATAGGTAACAAAAAAGCAAAGGCACTCGCAATGAGTTGGCTGGGAAACGCGAAGATCGTGCAGACCGCGAACGGAAGACACAGAGGCGCGCGCGAGTAGATGCGTGGTCAAGCTCAACACGCAGCAGAGGAGTGAAGCAGTTGGCGGAGGAGAATTTCGCGACCGATACTCTCCATCATCACGGGACCTCCTTTTCCAGTACCAAAATGTGATAATAGGTTTTCCCCATTTTTTCTGGCAACTAAACGTGTATATGCTTGGTTCTTTCGGTAAAGTCACGTAGAAGGGAAATTATAAAATAATAAAAATATAAAACAATACAATTCTCACGATGTTTCGACTGCAACACAAGCAATCATCATCAGGTGTGAAATCCACAGCAAGAAAATGTCAAATTTCACATTTTTCTTGTTTACACCCCCCCCCCCCGAATCCTATAGAACGGCCAATATTTAATCCACGCAGAAACGATCACGGATTAATAATATTGACGTGTTTAAGCAAACAGATAGTCCACCGCCGGACTATCTAACTCAGTTGAAGGCCAATGTAGACACATTATTATCGAGGCTCCCCCCCCCCCGTTTCCTATGCGCACATTGTCAGTAGATCCCCCATACGCAAGCACACGCATTTGGGTGAACCCCCCCTCCCCCTTCCATGCGTAACGTACTAAGTGGATGGCCCTTAAGGCTACACGGGGTGGGAGTCGTTGTCTGTGTTGTGTGAGTGCGTATGTGTGTCAGTGCGCGCGCGTGTGTGTGTGCGTGTCAGTGCGTGTGTCAGTGCGTGTGTCAGTGCGCGTGTGTGTCAGTGCGCGTGTTTGTGTGTGCGTGTGTGTGTCAGTGCGTGTAGCAGTGCGCGTGTTTGTGTGTGTCAGTGCGTGTGTGTGCGTGTCAATGTGTGTATCAGTGCGCGCGTGTGTGTGTGCGTGCGTGTGTGTGGGGAGCGGTGGTGTAGCGGTTAGCGCGCTGCGCTACGAACCTGGCGACCCGAGTTCGATTCCCGCTCACGGCCAACACCAGTCACGATTATCTGAATCGGTCCCGGGCATCCCCTAGGTCGACTCAGCCTCAAATGAGTACCCGGTGCGGTGTGTAAACATCGCCACTAGGGAGACAAAGGCGGTCGGGCGTGGTGCTGGCCACCCACCCCTCGTGTACCGTACCGGCCTTCATAGGTGCTCGCTAACAGCACTTGCCCCTAAAGTCTGTTAAGGCTATATAGGGGATCTTTGTGTGTCCGTGCGCGTGTTTGTCGCGACTGAATGGGCTGCGGTTACTCCAGTAAATCCACTCGTACTGGCCGTATGTAAACATGGGTACCGTACTCACTAAAACGATTTACTATTTTTATTGGAACAGGTAAGACACCACTGAACGATTATAGCTCTTTGTCAAAAGCGAGCTGGCCACAAGTGACAGTTAAACGAAGTGGCTCATTTACAGCGGCAGCCAAACACTGAACGCGCGACGTTGATGCTAAATGCGGAGGGAAAATCCGGAGGACCCGGAGAAAAATCCACGCGACCACGTGGAGAGAGAGAGAAAAGAGTGAGAGAGAGAAAGACACGCAAACTCCAAATATACAGCAGCAGCAGACGTCAAGGTCGGGATCGACCCCGCGACCTCCTGCACACCGGCGAGGTAATTAACATCTCCTAGCCACCGTGGTGATGATGATGATGAGAGAGAGAGGGAGACACGCAAACTCCAAATATGCAGCAGCAGCAGACGTCAAGGTCGGGATAGACCCCGCGACCTCCTGCATACTAGGCGAGGTAGTTAACATCCTAGCCACCGTGATGATGATGAGAGAGAGGGAGACACGCAAACTCAAAAATACAGCAGCAGCAGCAGGCGTCAGCGTCGGGATCGACCCCGCGACCTCCTGCACACCAGGCGAAGTAGTTAACATCTCCTAGCCACCGTGATGATGGGAGAGAGAGACACTTAGTGAGGGCGGCGGGGGGAGTGCGTCTTATAATCCAGATGAAA